CAAACTAATAGTATCTTGATTCTGCAAATGGACCTTCTGGGTAGACATTTGCTAGTAAGACATTTGTAGCACTCTAATATTGAATCTGGAGCTGTTCTCCAGACTGGAGGGAGGATATAGTTTTGATGTTGGACGTCTCCACAAAGTCCCTGTGGACCTTACAGCTAGGGCTGTAGGCTGGCTTCCAAAAAGAAGTCATTTTCATTCAAGCCCAGGATCCTTTAAAGCCTCTTATTCTCGGTTAAGGAGATTGCTATTTCCTCAGAACACAATCTTCTTTTTGATATACAAGCTTGCGAGGTTAAATCCGCTGCTCTTGTGTACTCGTACAGTGCATAAATATTTTGTAGAGCAATTAAGCCCAGTAAYTGAATGGACAATCAAAATTTCTGCCAGTTGCCTGAATCTGGCTTGCCAGCAGCAGGAACTAAGACACCAGGAGTTGAGGTAAACGCCACTAATGCAATGAGACACCTTCCCAACCTGAATTGCACACCAAACCTGTTCCTACGCCCCCATCCCATGCTGTGTGCTGCRAAGTTCCTGCATGTAACATCGTGTTTGGAAGAAAAGCAAGACTCGTGCAGGGAAGTAGGCTGGGCTGGGAAGACTGCAGTGCTCTTCATGCCTTTGGATGATAAGGAAACATACATTGTATTTCAGGCTCCGTTTCCATCCCGTTTCCTTTCTTAGCTGTAGCCTTAATACTCTGAGACCTTGTACAACCCAATTATCAATCTTAGTGTAAGGGGGCCTGTCAGTCCTCGCAACAGAAAAGCTACTTCCACAGACTGACTTTCTTTTCCAAAAACTCCTTTCTCCACAGCAGTTGTAATCCAGTCACTGAAAGAAGCATGGAGGCCTTTGAAAATCCTCTGAACAAAAGGTCACTTTATCAGGAATAGCAAGCCAAGGCCATCATAACAACAAAACCGAGATGAATTTAAATATGAATCGTTCAGAGAGTTCCCATAAATTGAAGTCAACGTAGCCAAAGTTTGCACTGAAGAAATCTATGAGCAAGTTTTCCTTCTTTCCTGGCAGATCCATCAGGAGCCGTAACAGCAGCTCTACGTAGTGCTGCTCCCTGGATGGCACAGAGCAAACGCTCACGCGTTGCCTTGGTTGATGTCTTCCAGTCAAATACCATTTTGAGGTGTTCTCTGCCTTCTAACTCCTGACACATTTCATCTTCTGCCACGGATGTCCTTGAAACTACACATTTAATATAGATCGCTTTCCTAGGCCTATTTACAAAACACCAGAAACTGAAAYTAGTATTGTGGTATTTTTCTTCTTTTTTACAAACTCTAAGTTGATTATCAAAATGGGATGCCAGACTCATGCCTGTTTTGTTGGTTATTCCAACCAACACAAATTTGTTACTTATTGCCAAGTAGGCTTTATAATGACAAGTATATTGCCAAGGATGCTTTAGCATGTGGATCCTACAATTAAATAATTCAACTTGATAAATCTTTAATGATGCATTTGCTAATTTCTTTGATACATCTGATACRGAGAAGGAGGGACATATGAAGAATTAGGAATAATAAAAAATAATAACATAGAAAACAATGTCAGTTACCTGTGAGCAACCACTTCTTTTTTATCATATTATGTCTTCTATTTTTGCTCAAAATGCTGTTTCATAACTTAATATCCTGTATGYAATTTTGTAGAGTGGCAGAAATATTGAACAATAATTCATCGAAAAAATAGTTGCATCTGTTTGGCATGGGAGACTAAATTTGTTAGACTCTAATCAGTAATGGTTTTCTGCCTTTAAATTTCCACAGTGGAATATAATATGCCTGTSCTCTGTGTAATACATTTGTATAATGTTAGTGTAACTGGCAAAAAAAAAAAGTAGTATAACTGGCAAAAAAAATCTAATGTGATGTATTAATAGTCCATCAATACAACATTTTCCAACTTGTTCGACCTAAGAAATTGATTAAATTTTTAGGCAAAATACTTACAAAAGCTTTTTCAGTGTAGCTACATTGACTTTTGTACTGTGTATATCAGCAGTATGAAAGTATCAAAAAAGGGCCCAAAATACATTTGACCTGAAAAGTAAAAAAATATTCAGCATGCAAAGTACTGTACAGCAGAATCAAAGGGCTGGGTAATTTTGGCTTTGAACTCCAGCAAAATCTCTACTCTTGACAAAAAAGTCATGGCATCTTTATTATCTGCTGGAGACATGCAAGACAGTGAATGTGCTGAGCAATGTGAAAAGCTATACAGAATGATATAATTCTAATTATATAGATACAGCTATCTGAAACCAGGCTCTGTGTTGCTATTTGCCCTGGTAAGAGCAGTACAGTTATAGACTGTGGCCACATCTACCCAGATCAATCATTTCTTGTCATTTCATGGGAATTAGAAGAGAAAGAGGAAATATAAATWATCTGATTTGTTCGACTCCAGTTTGTCTCTTTTTTTTTTTTTCTGTCCAAAAAACCAATCCAAGTCCTACTATWAATGAGATGTAAGTGTCACTAGTTATTTGATTAATTCCTGCATTTCTCATATCGATAAAGAATGGATTTCTTGGATAAGAAGAGGCTGTAGAAAGAAGCTTCCACAAAAAAGCTTTTCCTCTTGCTTCTCATTGCTATGAGAAAGTAATACATGCAATTTAATATGTTTTTTTCTACACAAAACTTTGTATGCATTTACATTTTGGCATGAATTTCAGCT